GGCCAAGTCCACAAAGCACCACCAGCAGTTTCATGCTGCCACCAGCAGGGTAGAGCACTGACAGCTGAAAGCCTAACCCTGCTCCCCCGTGAGACGCATCGCAGTGCAGACCTGTCTCAGCAGATAAGGCAGCCGGGCCTGCAGAAAAGCCCTCATGAAAGAAGGGGCCGAATGACCGCATCTAGGCAGCAGAGAGCCCACTTCCAACCAACTCTAATGAGGTGAAGGACATTCCTAACCCTTTGCTTAAGTGATTAACGGAACTTACCATCCACTTCCTAGGAACCAAAATGTTGGGTTCGAATTTCCCCTACTCCCTCTCCCCCTCCAACCTTGTGCTAATAGGAGTGCAGTGCCCGGAAGGCAAGGAGAAAACCACTTATAAATTACTCTTCTGTATTTTCATGGATTGACATGAAACATAAATTATCAGTGCAATTGCACAACTGTCTGGTAATAAGTTCCAATCCATCTTTCCATTTTAAAGGTTTGACAGCACAAGATTGAAGAAATTAAACAGGCTGAGACTCAATGTTTAATTCAACCCACTCTCAGGAAACCCACCAAGTCCTAGGGTCTAACCAAGGAGGGGAGACTGACCAACCACCCCCTCCCTCTCCAGACTTGAAGAGGACACAGGACACAGGGCCATAGGACTAACCTCTTCACACTCCCATCTCCCAGGAATACACTCACACGCTCAAGGGTAAAAGCCAATGAACCTAGACTATGGCTTCACATTGAGAGGCCTGTGACCTGCTGTGGCCACGAGGAGTCAAGAAACCACTGAGGCCTGAGTAAGATCTGTCAGAGAAAGTCAGGCCTTTGACCAGTAGAGGGGCTCCACAAAGCCTGGAGGACACTGTGACTGGTCAGAGCTTCACCTTGGCTGAGGAGCAGAGCCTCATGCTTGCCCCATGGGGGCTGACTTTAAATCAAAACCATCCTTCCCTCCTTTTCAGGATATCACATTAATTATCCTAATAGTGGTTTACTTATAAATGTAAAAGATTACTATGAAAGTAATATGCCCACTAAAGGGCAAAATCAACCTTTGTCCCGCCACTAATAATGTCAGCCTTTTGGTAAATTTTCTCCCAGTATTTTTACACGGATGGTATCATAATGTATCACACTGCTAAAATGCTTTACAAAACTATTAATACTTTTCTCTAAAAACTTTTAAAATCAAATACGGGCATCCAGTTTTTAAAAAAATCAAATAATCTTTCAACATTATTGGATTATCTTTAATTTTGGAAATTAACAGCAAAAATCAGGGTACTTGAAATCTAAATGTAATCACTTGCCCCACTAAACCAACAGCGATGACACAGGAGGGATCAACAATAGATCAGTAAATTATATCACTGTTAAATCAAGAGCTCAACTGCTCCCAGCTCAATTCCCAGCTAAACTTTAAATCCCATTCCAAGTGTCTGACTGAACAGATGCGTCAGTCTGAATGTCTCACTGTCTTCCGGCGAGCAGCGTGAGGAGGGTTTGAACAAACTGAACAAGCAGAAGGGTATCAGAGACGCCTGACAGAAACACTATGCAAGTTTAGAGGCAACGGGGATCAGGCCACTGAGGCTTTCATCTGAATCCAGTTCCCCACAACCTCTAGAATGGTGCTTCGCAAGGCCTCACTGACTGCTGGCACTGGCTGGCTCCCCTACCCAACAAAACAAACGAGAGCAGGGTCAGCAAACGTTTTCTGTAAAGGACCAGATAGTATTTTAGACTTAGAGGGTCAAGACACCAAACTGAGGATATTATGTAGGTACTTACATAACAAGAGAGGAAACAAATTTCCACAAACTTTTTATTGATGAAATTCAAAATAAAATAATTGGCTACAATTTTTTGTAATACAGGTTGACTAATAAAAATGGACTTAGGAGGGATAACATTTGCCAGGTTGAGGTCCCTTTCATCAAAATTACACATGTTCATCTGTTAAAGCTAATTCTGTAATAAGATTTTACATATTTCATCTTTGAACAGTGGGTGTAAACTGCTTAGATGCACAGGTAAATGGATTCTGAGATACAGGAATTTCCTTTGCATTCATATCAAGATGCATAATAAATGCTAGGACTGCAGTCTGTGTTTGGCAATCACATCCATGGTAAATCTCTGTGCAAATGGAGATCTCACCTTTGCTTTAACTTTTGATAGCACAGTGTATTAGGCAGCCTGACAACTTACGAGTCAAACAACATTAGTTGTCAAGATGACTTTACTGCAATACAAGGTTTGCATATAAGTGATGATTTGCCTTGTGATTTTAGGGTGAATTCACTAAGAAACATTATGAAGTCTGCAGCAAAAGCTGATTTCCAAAGCCATTCACTGTTCAATAACAGTAGTTGAAAATGATTCTTCTCATTCAGAAAAATTTCAATCTCAGCCCTGAACTCAAAAAATTACCAGAAAACTTGACCACTGCTAAGCCATCAAACTGTTGTATAGTAGGGTATGTCGGAACATTCAGCTTCTACTTCTGGCCAAAACTCAAGGAACTGACTGACTGACGATGGTTAAGTCCACAAGAGTGAAGTTCAGCATTGATCCTAATGGTTTATTAATACGAGAGTCAAAAACTTTCTGCAGAGCCCCTGCTGATGCATAATACAATGAATAACCATGGGCTTTAAACACCCTACACTTTCCTAAGCTTTGTAAATGTATATGGTGGTATACAACAGCTCAAATGACACTTATCTGTAATCTACTATTTTCCACATTCACATTAACCCTACTGGCTACTTTTTTCCCCCATACATACTCCTAAAGAGAAATTTAGTCATAGAGTTCATACTTCATGGCTTATCAAAGATTCTTCATTTTTGCTCAGCTGGGCGTGGCTCAGCAGCTGAGTGTCGACCTAGGATCCAGGAGATCTCAGTTCAATTCCAGGTGAGCACACATACCCGGATTGCAGGCTCGATCCCCAGTCGGGAGCATGCAGGGGTCAGCTGATCAATGACAACTTTCTCATCATTGATGTTTTTATCTCTTTCTCTCTCCCTCTCCCTTTCTCTCTCTGAAATCAATAAAGATATATTAAAAAAAAAAAATCCTTCATTTTTAAGTTTGAGAATAAAATATAATTTCAAGAAGAGTATTATAAGAGCAGATAAATAGTAGATTAAGAATACTAAATTACTCATACAAGTGTGTGTATGTGATATATATACATATATCTTAAAATTTGTTGAAAATCTTTTCTCTCTTTTGAAGAGCTTTAGGTAAATTACTACCAGTTGTAAATTCAGTTTTTACAGGGACATACACATTCTGTTTTGACATCAAACATGACCCAGAAACCATACAATTTTGTAACAATAACCACACCAGTGGAAGTTGCCAAAAAATGACAAAAAATGAGGCCAAACAAAGATAAAATCGGTGCTTGGCAAATATTCGGACAATTCTGATAAAGTGCCATACATACAGCGATAGATTTGGCTTCCACATCTCCTGAAGTGACCCTGGTTGAACATTCTCTCTAGAAAGTAAGTGGCTAGTGACCTTCTGGGTGTGCCTGAACCTTTAAGGCAGGCTTCCATCCCGTAATTGGCTTTTAGCCAAAGGGCAGCTGTGGTTAAGGCCAGTTATGAACCTCCTAAATAAGAATGGCATTATCCTAACACAGAGACAGACACATACGCAGGAACTCACACAAGTGCTACGGGCACTTAGGTAAGCAAATGCTTTATTTAGGGTTGGGGAGCCACTCACTGGCAAATGATTTTTCCCACTCTCCACGGAGCTGTCCATGCACCAAGGACTAACGAGAGTCATGAAAACTACAATGCTGATGTATAACTAGGCCTGTGTGTCCCTGGTTCCTTCTTTCTGTAACTGTTCCCTTGCCCTAAGGATGCTGTAACTGGTAAAACTTAGGAGAGAGAGTTCATCACTCACGCCACGGGCTTTGGAGAATATGTGAGTACTGAAAACCCTGGTCTACTGTTTCCTAAATTAGGTAACACTCTGACTTGATTCAAAGTTTTTGCCTACACAGATGGCCTGAAAAACCTCCAATTTGATGATCATTTTAGTATTATGTTTAAATCAATGTGTTACTTTGTACACAGTTTTCTGTACAACAAAGTTGTTGGCGCTGGGAGAGTGGATCCTTATGTAAGATTACAGGCAGTCTGATGGAGGCTATACAAAAAATGGTGACTGAAGAAAAAATGGATGCATAAGAGAAGAGTGTGCTCTGAGGACAGCCCTAACCCACGTGTGTCCTATAAACTGAAGAATCTACTCTAGTGTGGATGTGGCCAAAGAAGGCATTTGGTTATGGCTCCTGAAGGAGGTAGTAGTGCAAGTAAAGCAGTAACCTGGGCCTTGTTTGAATATTGGCAAGAACGGTATTGACAAGGTGCTAAGTGCCAGGCACTGTTTTAAGTACTTTACATATATTAACTCACTTAATCCTCACAGCAACCTCATGCGACAGGTACTATTGGTATCCTCCAGAAAATGACACACAAAGAGGGAAGTCACTTGCCCAAGGTTCCACAGCTAAGGGGCAGAGCTGGGCTTCAAACCCAGACAGTCTGGCCTTGGAGTCAAAACTCTTTTTAAAAAATATATTTTTATCGACTTTAGAGATAGAGGAAGGGAGAGAGAAACATCAATGAGAAGAGAGAAACAACTATCGGGTGCCTCCTACACCCCCCCTACTAGGGATTAAGCCCGCAACCTGGGCATGTGCCCTGACTCGGAATCGAACTGGTGACCTCTCGTGCATGGGACAACGCTCAACCAACTGAACCACAACAGCCAGGTCTGGAGTCAGTATACTCTTAAACATCATGCTATTAACTATATTTTTCTTAACTGAGCTAAAGGGAAAACAAGAGTAGCAGCAAATAAGCATTAATGACCGTGGAAGCTGTTCAGAATATATTGGGGGGTTTTTGACAGGCCATAATTATAATACCATAAAATAAAAGTCACTAAAAATAAAAACACAAATGTTAACTTTAACATACTCTACTGAATATTTAATATTAACTTGACATACTCATTATAAAGCATTCTCAGTTCAATAGTAAAATTTAAGTTTTGGGGGGTTTTTAAATAATACAAGTACAGGTTTCTAATTTATGCTATGTTTAGAGAGGTTTAATTTAGACAAATCCTAAAGTGGCAGGCTAATAAATGCCTGGCACCACTTAGCAGTAAAAATGACTTCAAAAAGATATAGCAACGTTCTTACCGAAATTAGTAAAAGCTTAGATACTATTTAAAACCTTGGGGGTAGTTTTGTGAATAGGCCAAAATTTCATAGGAAGGTGGGAACATGGGCCTTCCCCCCCTTATCAGAAGTCATTCTGTTAAGGGCTTATGGCAGCCATATGGTGTTTCAAGTACTAATAGGAAACAAATGAGTCAACTTAAGAATACAAAAGGCAAACTGTGATATAGAGTAAGGGAAGGGAGCAAACATTTCAATAAGCTGAGATCTGACATGATGATACTGCCACAGGCCTTAGCATCTTCTTTATCTCCTAAAAAATTGAGCCACCAACAGGAAAATGGTCGCCTCACAGAGAATGCTACGAGATTTTTAAGTTGCTAGACTCCTTTCCATCTTCTCCTCCTCAGCTCTTGATACTGCTGTCAAATTCTACACACTGGCAAAGAAAAAAGGGGTGAAAGTTGAAGGATTTTATAGAGAAATAATAAAAGAGTTGTTGTGATTATTTGAACTAAAATATTATAGCCACTGATACATTTTAGATGCCTAAAACACATGGCCTGACCATAAAGAAATGCCCAGGTGAACATTAAACCAATCATCACGATGCCTGAAGAATAGAATCTATTACATTTTAACAGAACAGCACCCTTCTCTGCTGCCCCCCCCCCCCC